TGTTCTTTACTGCTTTCTTTACTTACTGCTCTTTACATAATTGCTCTACACGAGATATACTACTCACACAATCTCACACACACTTTATGTTTATTTATTTCCGCTGTGCACCATACTCTAACAATCTAGTAAAGAGATTTGGTCTATCTCTGGCTTAGCAATTGTTGTGCTGTGCGAAAAAGTTTGAAAGTTTATTCACCCCCCCCCCCCCCCCCCCCCCCGCTCTCTAGACTTTCACCTTACCTCTTTTGGGACCAACATATATATATATATATATATATATATATATATAGGAAAACCATTTTGAAGCGGGAAGATATATACTTAGGAGACTCTAGCTTTAAAACCGAGAATAGACTCAACAGGTAAGGACAAGCACATTTATCAGTTATAATCATGCATATAAAGATACTAGCATACACCCTAAGGTCACAAGATTATTTCACATCATTCGTATCATTATTCAATCATTATCTCAACACATAAGCACACTTTGGTGGTGCCGCGGGACCAATCGCATGCCCATACATGAGGGTCAGTGCATATAGCGCTAACACGGCCCCGAAGCACCCTGTCTCGTACCGCAGCACGAAGGGGTTGATTGCAACCAACCGATGAACCGCAGCTCATCATATCGTTTGATCGCAACCAAACGGTGGACCGCAGCCCAAAAAGTGTAATTTTTATCACAACCAGATTATAAACCGCAGCTCATTTATAACGTTTGATTGCAACCAAATGGTGGACCGCAGCCCTATATAATATTTATATACCTGACCGATCGCAACCGGCCTGGTTAACAGCCGATGGTTCTCAACCCATCCAACTGCCCGTATAGCCAATTTGATCACAGCCAAATTGGGGTATCATACACACATAACACATAGCAAGCACATGCAACCCACATTGGCACATTGGGAAGGGGGAAAACGTATAAATAAAACTTATGCGCGGTCATCCACATACTAGGAATATTCCTAAGCGGTTCATATATCATTCACCTAGGCCAACGGGATACCAATTCAACTAGCATGCAATACACAAGACTCTTTTATCCTACGAATGGTACCCGAAACATCAAACTAGACTCAGGCACGACAAACGGGGTCCGTTAGGACGCCACGGGGAACGGGAAAACATCAAACGGGGAAAACCACCATCCACACTGGGAAAAACTAGCGGGTGGCCGACGGGTGGAGGACCACCCGCCGACGGCGCTCTTCTGGGCAGCGGGTGCCCGGCGGGCAATCGCCTGCCCGCTGCCGGTGGCACCAAATGGGGCAGCGGGTAGGTGGCTGGTTCCCCTACCCCCACTGACTCTTTTGTAATAGAGCTGTCAAAGCGGGCTGGCAGGGCGGGGCGGGCTAAAAAGCCCGCCATAATACGGGCCTAGGTAGGGGCAGCCCGCCCCGCCCCGCCTTAGGCCCGCGGGCCCCCGCCAAAGCCCGCCTCTTTTTTATTTTTTTTTTTAATCATGTGTGAAGTGTCTCTAAAATCTAAAGTGTCTAAAGTCTAATGTGACTATGTTAATAACTTAATTGCTATCTACTTAAAACACTTATTCATAAGAAAATAACATAAATCCGTTCATCACAACATGACAACAATGACACCAATAGGAGTAAGTATAATTATCCATATTATTTATATTATTATATTATACATATTATATATATTAATTATATATATATATATATATATATATATATATATATATATATATATATATATATATATAAATTTAAAAAAAAAAAAAAAGGCGGGCTGGCGGGCTAGGCGGGGCGGGCAAAAAAGCCCGTTTTTAAAACGGGCTTAAAAAACATGAGCCCACCCCGCCCTTTTGGCGGGCGGGGCGGGAAAGCCCGGCGGGCTAAGCCCATTTTGACGGCTCTATTTTGTAATACCTTGGTCCCGGGATCTTTCGTGGAACCCGAAACCTTGTCTAGACACTTTTAAACACAAACGACGACACCACGTAGTCAAGTACTAGATCAAAACCAATAATCACATTAAATACATCCTATCATGATTTCTAAACATTATTAACACCCAAACATGCAAAATCCCTCCCAAACATATCAAGAATATCATAACACAAAATCCATAATTTACCCTAGTGCTCTAATCATATTTAAATCACAAAACCATAACTTTATCTTTAAAATCAAGAACATCAAGATTATCAAGATCAACACACAATTAACAAGATCCTCATCAAGATCATCAAGATCAACAAATAAGATCATCTCATAAACATCAAGATCATATCACAATCATCATAAAAGACTTATCAAGACACGAGTATAGAATTGTATATCAAGGAGCCAAAGAGGAAGATTATAGCAAGGAAAATAGGTTTTGTTGAGACATGAGTTACCTCTTATAGCCTTAATAAGAATCCTTGGCTATTAAGGTTCTTTCTCTAAGATCTCCTCTTCTTGATTTCTCCTATGTTTGGTGATAGGGGAATTCTTGGGAATCCTTTGTGGTGAAATCTATTGTGGTGTGAATTCTAGGTGTCTCCTATGTTCTTATATATATCTAAGAGTCCTAATTAGGGTCTGAATGGTATGAATTTACTAATTCTATTCCTTATAGGACTAAGGGTTTGGTTTAGAGATAAGGGTCCATGGTCTATGGTGGACCCTTCCTAATTAATTAAGGGAATTTAATTCTCTTTTAAGGGTAAATAATTAAATAATTAGTTTGGGTTAGAGGCCGTAACACGAGGTGTTACAAGCTAAGCATTGATTGGTTTCGGTCGATTTTCGGTTAATAACTGAAATTTTGACTGAACCTTCATAATCGAACGACCAACCTTCATAATCGATATAACCGAAACTGACGGTTTTCAGTCAGTTAAATATAATCAATCTTAAGAACTGTGAATTTAGTATTCTTGCTAATCAGAAGTTTAAAGACAAACCTTTTAAAGTTCTTGCTCACAACAAAAGAAAGGACTTGATTAAAGATGGTTAAGACACGTGTCCTTCCTTTCCTCCCATCTAAATCATTGCTCAAGTTCAAGTCTGTGTCGAAAGAGTGGGATCAATGGATAAGCAATCCTTTTTTTGTCTCACCAGCAAAGCTTCTCATTTCATAAAATATTTGGTTTCATAAAATGGATGGCTACAGTAAATTATTAAAAAACAAAAACAAATAATATCCTAGTATTATAATCAATTAAAATTAATATACTCAAGTACAATAGTACTTTAGTGAGATATAAATAGATTATATTTATACATTATATGATTAATAAATGTAGTGCAATCTAATAAGTCATTAAAATTAATGTAATAGATTGTGGACTTGCAAAATGTAAATGGGTTAAGGTTATATTTCTTTTTCTTTTTTTTTTTGGATTAATTGTTGGCTTTCGATTTTCTCTGGAGAAATTGATAATCAACTGAAAAATTGAAATAACAGAATTTTTTTAACTTTAATAACTGAAAACCGAAAATCGAAATATTCAGACAATTCGATTTTCGGTCATCCGTCCAATTTTTTTTTTTTGCCACCCCTAGCTCCAGCCATGTCACTCATCCCAATGTTAAATGTTTGTTACGAAGTATATAGTAACAATTCATTAGTACCTACTCTAAAACGTACTATAATAGGATATTTACTGTCATATTCATTTGTCCAATTCTTACGAGCTTAATTATAAAACTTCATGAATCATAATTTACTATATTTAAAATATTTGAACTCACAATTCACTCCGCATGACCCGAACTACTTTGGGTATCAAACCTCTAGTCCTCTACCCCTCTTGTGAAAAAAGTTAAGTTAATGTATGTTCTAAACATAACGTACATCTGATCTTTGTCACTCTTATAAACAAACAACACAAAAAGTGATGGTGGGTTTTTGAAGCTTTAATTTTACCAACTGGTTATGTGGTTCCACATGGGGAATAAAACAGTGGTTCAAGCATTTGTACTGCAGTCAAAACCCAAGAAAAAGGTGTCAAACACACATCAAGCTAAGCTAGCAGCAAAGCAACCAGACCAGACCAGACCTGACCTAATCTGATCTCTACACCGTACCCACAATAAATAAATTTCTTTCTTTTCTCTCTAGGAGACTGGAAGGTAGGATAGGTTTCCAGAAAAGCTCCATACAAGAATTAATTGTTGGTTCTGAGGAGTGGACAGACTTTTATGTTTGGGGAGACAACTCAGACAAGGAATCCTATGTGAAAATGCAGTACGTACAACGTAGTTGTGAGGACTGGGAGCTTACCAGTCAGACGTTTACCAGTCACGCCAAAAGCTATAGCTAGTAGGGAAGGCTATACGTCTTTATACCGTCACATATTTTCGAGACACTGGATGTTGAATTTGACCCTTTAAGTTTTTTACCGGCCTCCACCTAACAAACACCTAACCACCGGGTGTTAGATTTGGCATTAACCACCTCCGCCCAATATGAGGCTTGTGACACGTACAAGTGATTAGCTTGTTGCAATAACTTTCTGGGGTTTTCATGCACCAACCAAAACATAAATGCCAAGATTTGTAATTTGTATGTATGTATATATGTATGTGTCTTTTCAAATTTTTCTAAGTACAAAATCCCAGTTAATTATTGTGCCAGAAACTTCTTGTCATGTGCTATTTTGAAATTAAATGCCAAGACCTTGATGAGTTGATACAAGTCTGAGTCGTTGTCCATATTTTCCATATTTCCCTGTAAGGGAGATTATGTACTCTAGTAGTGATTCTATATATCCTGCACTCATTGTTAAGGTGTGTATGGTTCAAACATGGGAATCAAAATAGTAATGAGAATTAAATATTTGGTAATGATAATGAGTTATTACTTTTGGTTGTTTGGTACTAAGTAAAAATTGAAATAAAAACAAATAAATAATTAATTAATTATTTAATTAAATAAAATAAAAATAAATAAATAAATATATAAAAAAAATATAGAATAAAGATATATACACATACATATATCTGTAAATATATTAAAATTTTATATTTAATGCATGGAAAATGATTTTTTTTTTCATTTTTTCTCCCTTATTTTTTATTCCATTGTTCAAAAGTAAATGAGTAAAAAGGTAATGAGTTTTGTAATTACGAAATGATTTGATTCCAATAGTAGGATAACAAAAGTAGGTAAACAAACATGATAATGGGTATCAAAACTCATAGTAAGGTGCAAAAGTTTCTAACCATGATGGAAATCAAGGAGCGATGGAAAAGAAAGGAGATCTGTGGTTCCAGAAAATTGTCCAGTATGTGTCTTAAGAATACTTATGATTTTGAGCAGCTGATCAGATGAGATTCCCAGATGTCCTACATTGTTTGTGACTGTCCCTGCAACCTACTGCTTCCCTAGACTTGAAACCCGGCACCCAACCAGGGGTAGTCGTGTTTCTTGTAACATTTATAATTGTATGCACCATCATTCCACAAAAGGTGCATTTGGCTTTCATCATGTTGTTGCGTTTGCCATTATAGTTGTTCACAGCATATGACTTCTTCATTTGCAATATTATGTACTGCATTAACATGACTAATGTCTAGATTCTCTAGGCTCAAATTGGTAAGATTAATCTGTCTTTCTAGCTTTTCAGCCATGACAAAGACTTTATAGATCTCAGGTAGGGGATCCAAGACAAGAACGTTTGACTTCAAGCTAGAATAATCTTCATTCAAGCCTTGCAAAAATCGAATTACCTGATCAATGTCTCTTTCTTTTCTGACTTCATCAATGAGGCCACATGAACACCTCGGATTGCATTGACAGATCGGAATAGGTCTGAGTGTGTTCATCTCTTCCCACATTGTGCATGATTTCGTGTAGTAATCATTGAGGGAAAGGCTTCCTTGTTTATGATTGTATATCTCATTCTGCAAAATCGAAATCCGCTGAGCATCACATTGCAAAAATCTCCTTTGCAGATCCTCCCAAATATCTCTGCACTTATCAAAGTGCATTATGCTTTGTGCGATTGTTGTGTGTACAGATTTGAATAGCCAAGAACAAACTATCAATGTGACAACCCAAAATTTAATTTTATAAATCCAATTTTAAGAAATTTCAAATTAGCCATTTTATTCCCTAAAATTTTTTACAAAAGGAACGGTGTTTGAATAAATTATTTCGAGTGACTTTTTAAAATAAAATTCAACACCAAGAGATTTAATTCTAAAATTCTAAATTTTCGGGTACTTCGTGTACCAAGTTTTAGACTGAGAAAACTATCTAAGTGAAACCGGGAGATGACCGAGAAGCCTAAGTCAAGTGTTTGACTTGAAAACATTTTTGAAAAAATTATCTTCCAACCCCAAACTTTTTTTAAATAACATTTCTAGTCATGGTCCATGATGCATGGTGGACCACAAAGCATCCAAAATGTGTCTGATGCATTTATCCTTGCCTTGTCCTATTTACACAATTGTCATCCACCAATCATAGGGTATCATCCTAGGGTTTTGCACCACTATAAAACGATTGGCAAAGTTTTCATTTTCTCCTGATTCCATTCTTAGCTTCCCATTCCATCTGCAACAAGAAGAACACAATGAGCTATTTTCCTTCCTTCATTCATCAACTTCCTTCCTTTTCTTCCTTAGCTTTGTCTCTGAGGACTTGTAGTAAATAGAGTTTGGTTTGTTTGAGTTGTTTAGGAGGTGAAGAAGGAGGTGTCTAGCTTGGGAAGAAGGTGGAATCCAAGCTAAAGGGAGAAAGCTTCAAAGGTATAACCCCATAGATTCCCAGCTTGTTTTTTTGCTCTGTGAACCCTCTGTGATATAGTTAGAAATGAGTAGGAATGCTAGAATATTGTGTGTTTGAACTATTGGATGTCTTGTTGATGTTATATGATGTATTGTTGATGATTTGGAGGTGGTTTATTGTCTGGTTTGGCCTTACAGATGAAGCTGGAGCCACTAGTGCACCTCTTAGTGTGCATCAGTGGAAGTCACGGGCCTAGCCAACGGCCCATGAGGGGAGCCATTGGCTAGAGCCGTGGCTAGACGGCCCTAGGCAAGGACTGTGGCCCTAGGCCGCCGCCGGACGATTCCAGGCAGCGGGGCTTCCCTAGCCCCGCCGCTAGGTCCGTTGATGGTTACCTGTGCAGTGGTCGGGCCCTTGTGGCTCAGCTACGTGTCGTTTCGGACCGGGAGTCGCAGGCCCTTGTGGCTCGGTACCTTGGGGCCGTTATGACGCAATTTTGAGCTTTGATTTTGTTAAATTTGGATTAAAGATGAGCATGTTATGATAGAAATTGTGATGGAATTGTTTACATTAATATGCAAATTAAATGTGATGTATCAGACTTACTGTCTATGGGAATTGCTTGTTATTATCTTCTTGATGATTATTGAGTATTAGATAGAGGAGCATGATCATTATGTGATTAAGTGTTGTTAGAAAAGCATGATTAAAGTGTGTATTATGTTTCATGGAAATTGTAGTCTATTTATAATGGTGGAAATGTACAGAGTATGTTGTTTTGCAATTCAAGCATGATTGTGTGTTCTTTGAGAGTTCACAGTGATATATAGAATTGGAGCATGTGTTCAGTAAATTACATTCCAAGCATTTCATGTTTTAAAAGTGCATAAATGGTCAACGTAAGCCTTGTATTACTTTCCAAAACTCATGAGCATGTGAAATGTCATTTCCTTGTTGCATTGAGAACGTGTTGAGAAGTGACTTCATATAAGTGCATAAGTAGAAGAATTTCATGATATATATATATATATATATATATATATATATACACACACACATACATACATACTATCCATATAAGTGAGGTTTTGGAGGACCCGTTGGGACTATGTCCTTTCGGATGATGATGACCGGATATTGAGATCCGATGTTTTGTAACGCGGTGTATTCCCACGTTATGAGGTTGGAAACTGCCTGCCAGGCTTGGAATCCTGGTCAGGGGGTGTGCACGCTAAAAGTTTGATACCTGATTCCACAGAGTTGAGTATAGAACCAAGAGAGTGGTTCGGTGGACGAGACGGATATTAGGCCGGCTAGAGGTCGTGCCTGGATAGATTCGTTCACGCTACGGTGAAGTTCCTACCTCGTCCATTTATAAAGAAAGTGAGTCATTACGACTCTAAGAAAGGAAGATCGAGCGAGTCCTTGTGGCTCTAAGAAACCTCCACAGAAACGTATTCTATTTACAAACGAGAGTATGTGTACTTTTATAGCAATCCATTGCATTTAATAATTTATTGTACGAGTTTGCATGATTAGTATTCTTTCGGCTACATGCTGGATATTTGATTATACTCAATTGCATATCGAGATCTTGCTAGCATGAGATTGTTATGGAGTCGTTCTATAGAGTTGAGTGTTGCTATGTTAAGTACGTGTTAGTATGAGCATGTCGAAGAGTTGTTTAATGTTGAAGTATGCCTGTTGATATTATAGGTTGTGAGCATATAGAAAGCTTTGTGGTTTATCTTAAGATAATTGTCTAAGCGTTTGTGACTGCTTAATTTGAGTTTGTGAATAAAATGTCTTTTCAAAGTATATATCGTAGTACTTTACAGGGTTGAGTGTGGTTATACTTAGCTTCATGCTAACGGGTGTTTTCTACTTGTCTACTTGTTGTTTTGCAAAACCCCTTTCAGGTGGGTCCAACGTTTGAGAGTTTTTCGAGTTAGACTAGTGTAGTTGATCTAGTAGTTTAAACTCTGTTTATTTTATGATGTTTTGGATTATGGTTGTAGACTCTTGTTTTTATGTTTGGTGATAGACACCGGGGCACTTTTCCCCCATGTTAACTTAATGTAGAAATTTTTGGATTTGTTAGTTCCTTTATCCTGTGCAGTCACCGTGCGTGTGACTGTGGCGATGACATCCATTTTGTCTAATGTTTAGTATTTAATATGGTGGATTAGTTATGATAATTAAGCTTTGTACTTAATTAAAAATGATGAAATTTGGGGTGTTACAATCAAATTGCAATGTCTCTAGGCTAGGTGTTGTGCATCGTCTCTGCTAGGTGCCACGATGCTGCCATAAACTAAGCTCCATTTATTTTTGACTTCTAGGGTAATCCGCATAGAGATCGACCAAGTGTCGTAGTTTGAGCTTCCTGATAATGGCGGATTAACTAGGGTGGTATAGGGATTGTCGTTGGGGCTGGGGAAGAATGGATTGTCCATTTCTTCTGAGTTGAAACTTCTTTGTGTCTGAGTCCTCTGCGAAATTGCCTTAGGAACAGCTTGAGAAAGTGGTGATTGAACGACCGGAGTCTCTTGATTGGCGTTGTTTGCGCTGATAACGGCGGCGGCATACGAGAACTGGCGCTCTGATACCATGACGGAAATCAAGGAGCGATGGAAAAGAAAGGAGAACTTTACAGATTGTGCATTTGGAGTGAAAGAATGTTCTGAACAGTTTACAAGAGGGAAGAGAAATTGGTTTAAGTACAGGAGTGCATGGGGGAAATCTGTTATAGCTAACAGTCTTTACAAATCTTGAATTCCTTCTTTGCCCTCTCGTTCACTACCCTCCGATAAGCCAAACACACCCTTAGAGATGGCAATTTAAATCTAAATTAAATTTAATCATCAATTTCTATTGGCATTTGACTACTATAAGCTAGCTCGCACTACAATAAGGGTGTGTTTGGGTCGCACAGGAGAATCAGAATCGGAATGGGTATCAAATACTTGGTAATGGTAATGGGTTTTAGTAAAGTATTTTGCATGTTTTGGTAGTATGGTGGAATGGAAATCATTATCAATAATGTTGTTTGGTTATGTATGATCCAATAATGGGAATAAAGAATTTTAAAAATACAAGAACACAAAATCAAGACAATTGAGTCTAATATAAAGACATCCAAAACACCAATATGAACAAAAAAAAAATTAAAAAATCTAAAAGCACTAATCAAATGGGATGAGAAGGAATAGGGGAATGAAAAGGAATTATACCCTTATTTTATTTGAGTATGAATTTTTCAATTAATGGGATATTGAAACCCATGGTAGTGTTCTAAAAAGCTATCAACCAAACAATACCAATCACTTTGATACTCATTCCTTAGAGCCAGGGGCGGAGGCAGGATTTGTTAGTGCGGGGGGCAATCACAATTTGTTAGATCCCTTTTGAATCTAATGATGAACTAAGAATAATTAACTCCATTGCTTTATCATCAAACCTATTGTTCAACTCTTGCAACTGAAAATCAACCATCGCATTAAAAATATTAACTTTGTAATGATATTCAATTGTTAATTCATCTTGCTGAGGCGTAGCCCTTCCTCTTCTTGCAATATATTGAGCATCAAAATCTGGCACAGTTATGTTGACAGTTTCACAACTTGCAAATGATTTATTTGGGATGTTAAATCTTCATAGTTTTTTCATTTAAAGAAAAAATCAATCCTTTGTATCTTTTTCATTTCAACTCAATCTTCCTGTTAATTTTTTGACATATCAATTCAATTAACTAAAACGAACAAAATAAATAAATAGACAAAGATTAAAGTAGTAGAAATTTAAAGATTCTTGTAGCAAAATGATAATTTATTATTATAATAAGAACAATTGTAATGTATTTTATTTGCAAATTAAAAAACTAACTAGATAGCAAATTAGCAATCTACTGTCCAGTTGCATAATTAGCAATATAATGCACTGTCCACAGCAAGCCTTGTGATGCAAACTGAATAAACTTTTATCATCTTTTGTGTGCAAGTAAAATGTAGTGTTGTCTTATTGACAAATAACATTCCCCAAATAGCTGTTTGGGTTCATAATTCTAACAATTACTATCTTTTCTAACAATTCTCTATTTAATTCTTTATTTGTATCAAGCTTGAGTGTTGTACAGAATTATATTACAAAAAATCAAATGCTTTAAAAACTATAACTGCATTCAAGAAATGCAAAATTACATGTAGATTTGGAGCTTCTTTTTTTTTTTTCGAAAACGTAGATTTGGATATTGAAGTTGTAAAAAGAATACACGATTAATGCGAAGGCTGAAGTGCAAATTGCGGAAATCCAAACTGTGCCGTGAGCTCTGTTCTACTGCAGTCTAGTTTAAATGGTTTGAGAATTGGGATTGAATGTCAAAAGACAAATAGTATAAAGATTATTTTAGAAATTTGCTTTGAGGGGGGCAAAATAGCAAATATTTAGGGAGGAGGGCCAAAAAAATACTATAGAACTACTAAAAAAAAAAAAAGAATTGGTGAGGGGGGCCAAGGCCCCCTCCTACTCTCAAGTGGCTCCGCCACTGCTTAGAGCTAAACCTGTCAACCAAACACACCCTAAATTCGCTAGCTAATAGACAAAGATAGATCAGACCATCATTGTTTTTATGAGTTAAAACTATTTTATGGATTGAGACATAGTAAAGTCTTTTTAATAATTGATAAATTTTTATATATCGATGTTATATGCAAGAGCATCCCCAATAGTTATAGTTTTTGAGAAGTTTATACATATGTAACTATGACAAAGAAGATGAGCTTAAAGGAAAAAAAAAATGAAAACAAAAACGAAATTTGAAAAAAAAAAAATTAAATAAAGATTTACGCGCCTCACGCGAGGCAACTTTGCTTTTTTCTTTCTTGGTGGGACCCACAAATATGGCAAAAACCAAGGTCCTTCAGTAAAGACCAAACTTACTTTTTTAACCTACTAAAGCACACAATAAATGCACTATATGTTCATAACTACTTTCTCGACTGAGGCTCGAACCCACAACCTCCTATATAAGAGAACAACTTGGTGTCACTAGACCACAAAGTAAGACTAAAAGAATTTAATTTTAGAAATAAATATAGGAAAAGATTACAAATTAATTTCAATATTAAATAAAATAGTGAATATATTAACAAACTAATAATGTAGTTATTGGTTGGAACTTATATTGATTACTAGTTTTTTACGCGCATTGCACGAATGAGATAATGTTCAATGATTATTTTTAAAATAAGTACTTTAAAGTATATCAATCTAAGATTATATAAGAGCATCCTTCCCGGCCACGTATTCTCTCATATATTGGTTTGGTTATTGATGATTGTAGAGTGATTTTATCTACTTTTACTCATTACTCTCTTAGCTTAGTGCCATGTTCGGCTAATTTACTAGCTCATACTCTTGCTATAGCAGCCTACACTCAAGCTAGCCTTTTGTACTTGGACTCTGTCCCTCCAAACTCTATTTCTGCGTTATTATAATATATCGCTTACTTTTGCTTTCAAAAAAAATATAAGAGCATGCTTAGTAGTTTATTTCCATTGCGGTTTTTGAGGAGTTTTTGTAAGTGTGATTAGGAAAGACAAAAAAATGTAGGAGAAAAAGAAAAAGGAAAATAAATTTTGATAGTATTAAAAAAAAAAGGTGTTTAAAAGTCAGAGTGGCCGCCAGCTGGAAGCTACTCTGACGTGTCCCAGCGGGCACGTGGGAAACACGCACCCACAAGGGCGGTAGTGCACGCCAAGCGCGTTGCTGTCTTTCTTTTCTTTTCTTTTCTTTTCTTTTTTTTTTTTTAATTTCTGACATTATTGCTTGTTTTGCAAAGGGAAAAACCAAGCAAATAACGAGCCTCCACATCTACAAAAAAAAAAAAAAAAAAAAAAATCCCACTCAAGTTTTTTCACCTGACAAAAACCAAGAATTATCCCCTTGTAGGGATGCTCTAAGAGCTGTTCATGCATAGGTAATTGAATTTTGAATTTGTTTATTTAAATCAGTAATTCAAAATATATGGCAAGATAATATAGGAGAGTATAATTGTCACTAAAATAAATATTTAAAACTTTGTAATAACTCTAGTCTTAATACTCAGTCTAAAAAATGATAGTCTAAATAAATACTACTTTTGGTTTGATTTTCTCTAAGTCTTCTTAATTCTCTTTTGGGTTGCATTGTCATTGTCTTCATCTTCACTACTTGTACTCTTTTTTTTTATTGGTAGTGTGTCATGTGCAATTGGGTTATTGATGGTAGCATAAAGAGCAGTATCATGCATTTGAAATTAGTGTGTAGAAAGTTTTTAGATTTGTCTTGTTGTGTATATGGACATTGTCAATTCTTTGGACAATGGCCTTACCGTTTAGAGTCCAGGTGTAGTTGTATTTCTGATCAAGAACTTTGTAATAAGGTCGCGCGGGTCTGACAATGATGTAAGAACAATTTTGTCTGTTAAAAAAATAATAGTATAATATTTGTAAAGTAATGTACAATTGTACTATTATAGAAATAAATACAAAAGATATTAATACAATAATGACCTAAATCATTCCAATAATGCAAAAATATAATTGAAATATTGAGTCTTGTTCTAAATAATCAAAAGAAGATTAATTAAAAGCTTTTATCCTATTTTGATTTTTGTTCGGTTAAATTTATTTCTAGATCAAACAATTTGTTAGCACATACTTTAACTTCTACAGCTTTCCAGCATTCTGATGCTACGTACTGGGACCTGCTCCCTCCTTACGCTATTGCGGCTTATTTCTAATGATTACACCGTTGATTATTTTCAAAAAAAAAAAAAAAAAACAAAAAAGGGGGGGGGGGGGGGGGGGGGGGGGGAGAAGTGTCAAATAGGCCCATGTACTATTGTCAAGTGCTCAATTTCCACCATGAACTAAATTAAAGGCTAATTAACCACACTTACCTACTAAATTTGTTCAATTAACTTTTTTTTGCAGGTAATTGACTTTTTTTTTGCAGGTTACCAATTCAATTATTAAAAAAATAATTTCAAATTAATTTAAAAATTATTAAAAAACAAAAAAAAAAAAAAAAAAAAAAAAAAGAATGCAGCCACCGTCTGTCCTCGCCAGACAGCCGGTGGCTGTATTCTTTTTTTTTTTTTAATTTAATTTAACTTATTTATTTATTTTAATAATTAAATAGGTAACCTGTTATTAACTTGTAAAAAAAACCAATTGAACAAATTTAACTCGTAGATAGACCTATTTGACACTTAATTTAGTTCGTAGTGAAAATTGAACACTTCGCAATAGTAGATGGGCCTATTTGACACTTGCGCCAAAAAAGAAAAAAAAAAAAAAAAAAAAAAAAAAAAAAAAAAAAAAAAAAAAAAAAACTTAACCTAAATTTATTTTATTTTTTAAATTCAAGAAAATGATTTTCAAAGTTGTTGAATGCTATGTATTTAGTCGGGCTAATTATTTGACCAAACTTTATGTTAAATTTTATATTGTATTTTTTAATACATTTTAACATATTCATAGTATATGTTTAATTGGGATGGTGTTCGAACCTAAAACCTTTTATATATAAATTAATGAGTATGTTAAAGAATAATAAATAGTTAACGGAATATTCCATTACTAAAGTTTATACTAACAGAATGCAATCATTATTGTGTGGACCATGGTCCACACAAGTTGTGTGGATCATATTTTGTATATTGTAAAATAAGGTACATTTAGTACAAAAATAATGTACATTCAGTACAAAAATAATATATATTGTATTCAGGAGATGTACATTATTTTTGTACTGAGTGTGCATTATATTGTATAATGTACATTCAGTACAAAAATAATGTACATTTAGTATATTAAAAATTCACTTTTTGTTATGGTCCACATAACACTGTGTGGACCGTGGTTCACACAGTAATTTGCCAACAGAATGCATGGTTATTTAAAGGAAGAAAATAATGGCAATTTATATCGTGCACCACTGTGCACATAGCAATGTGCGTCCAGGCACAAAACGCGCTTGTTTCATGCTGACATCATGCTGATGTCACTCCGTCCATCCGAGCAGACCAAACTTCATTATGTGTATCAGTTAAAATTTTATGTGTATTGTGTTATGAGTTTATGTGTATTATGTTAACCAAACTCATTATGTGTATTCAGTTAAAAGTTTATGTGTATTGTGTTATGAGTTTATGTGTATTATGTATTATGTTAGATTATGTGTATTCTGTTATGAGTTTATGTGTATTCTGTTATGAGTTTATGTGCATTCGAAACAGGACATTTTTTTTAACAACTTAACAAAACAACTTCGTTTTGGGAGGTGCGGTGCGCACAGTGCTATGTGCGCCCTGATGCACGGTATAACGATTGGAAAATAATATAACAGATGGTAAAGAAGGAAACTCATAAAAAATATTAAAATTAAAATAATATGAACCATTCATTTCAACATACAATTACATCAATATTTTTTAGTTTTGATTAAGTGTCTAACTTTATTGGCTCTTATTAAATTTATTTATAGATTTAAATAACAAACATTTGAGCGTTACTCATGTTGATGACTTCTTAAGATCTCTTATTTTTATTTCTCAAAAAAAAAAAAAAAAGATCTCTTATTTTTATAAAGATATATGGTGATATAACATAAATATTACCATGGTATGATGAAGTGGCAAATTGTATTATGATTTAGAGTTAATTCTAACGGAGGTCCTTGTCTTGGTGACAATTTCAAATTTAGTCTCAGATTATTATTTTTGTTATTTTACATCTCAAACTATTATTTTTTGGACACTTTTAGTCATTCTCATGATTTTTTTTCTATTTTTAGTAAGGGTATTTTTGTCTCTTCATTTTTTTTTGTTATTTTTTCAGTTTCAACTAGTTTAATTGGTTTAGGACTTTACTAAAAATTGATTGAAAATATGGTTACTAAAAATCGGAGGTTACCTAAAGTTCTAAATCAATTAAACTGGTTGAAACCGGAAAAATAACAAAAGAAAAATATGAAGAAACAAAAATGTCCTTACTAAAAATAGAAAAAAAAAATCATGAGAAGGACTAAAAGTATCCAAAAAATGATAGTCTAGGATGTAAAATGGCAAAAACGATAGTATGAGACTAAATTTGGAATTGCCACCAAATACAAGGGACCTCCGGTGGAATTAACTCTTATGATTTATGATGCATCTGCATGAATGACATGGCAAAAATAGTCCGTACGGACTTAACTCAAAGGTTCAGTAGGTAGTATTTGGGAGAAGAGACCAAGGTTCGAACATCGGCGGCAATGTGGAGATTATACCCAAAGTGAGCATATCCCAGGATTCCCAGCTGGTATGCATTGACATTTGATTCTGTTTGCTGAGCCATTAAGTCATCATGATTTACATACTTCCAAATATTGTCAGACCGAGATGTGGGGACCTTAGAGTTGGGGATTCAACCTTTTGGGAGAAGAAGACACGACAAAAATAGAAACAACACGTAATAATGCGATTACACTCTTGTTTGGGAAAAACTCAACTATATCATTATTCAAGAATTAAACTTGTAGAGAACGCAAAATATAGTTTAATTTGTCAGTATACTTCGCTGGCATTCTGGCAATCAGTGGCGGAGCTAGGATTCGTTGGTGCGGGGGGCCGATCACCGTGGTTGCCGTCATTAACTGAGGAAATCAATAAAAGGATTTAGGTATTTAGCTATCATTTAACTACTACAATATCTAAACTTTTTGTTGTTGTGAGGACGGATGCATCTCCAATAAAGAATAATTCATAACAAAAATTCAAAGATTTTAAGAATAAAAAAGAAATGAAAAATTACCTATATATTTGCAGATTGAAAATTGAAGAAAATCTGATTGTCTGCGTATTCCGTTTCTGGTTTACAGGTTTGGAATTTGGATGGTTTAGTATAAAGCTTAGCAATCATTATTGTGTGGACCATAGTCCATACAAGTTATGGACCATATTTTGTATGTTATAAAATAACATTTAGTACAAAAATAATGTATTTTTAATATATTAATAATGTACATTATATTTAGGAAAAGTACATTATATAAAATAATATACATTCAATACACAAATAATGTACATTTAGTATATTAAAAATGTACTTTTTGTTATGGTCTACACAATAATTTGCCAAAACCTAGCCTAAAAACTTTCTTGGAGGGTAGAAAATTATATATATTGGTGAGGGGAGCCACAAAATAACCATTATAATATTAATAAAAAAAAAAGATTTGTGGAGAGGGGCCAAGCCGCCATTGGAAACAGGTAATCCTAATTCTAAACTGCTACTCTATAGTCTATACTAATTCTAGAATTTGTTTTTTTTTTTGGGAGGGGGAGGGGGGAGGGGAAGGCCCCCTGCTCATATAACGTGGCTCCGCCACTGCTGGCAATAGCTATGTAAATTGTAAACGCACGTTTAGAAAGCGTTTACTCTCTATTTCATTTTATCTTTCTTTTATTCATTTGTCAAATCAATTTTTTTCTTATTTATTTATTTTTTTTATTAATTTTTAATTATTTTTTAAATTTAAATTTTTATGTTTTATAGTACTTTTTATATAGTTTCTAAATATATAAATTTTATATAATAATATTAAATTTAATATTATGAATAATTAAATTCGAAATACTTCAGCCCAATCTTATTAACTAAATCAGACACATATAAAATGGGAAGAATTAGTATATTTTGAAGCGGGAAATACTACTTCTACTCCCAATCACAAAATATTGATGTTGACATTTTTTTTGGGCCCCACAGGATAAAAATAACTAATCATATATTGACACGTCATGAAGTAAAAATGAAGAAGTAGAAATAGGAAATACGTGTAGTAGAACTCTTTTGAAGTTCATTCTACGATTTACTTCTTTTATTAAATTTTTTGATATAAATCGACACGTGGGAACCATATGATTTTGGTGCAATTTTTATTTTTATTTTTATTTTTAAGTGATTTTAATCTTGTCAGACTAATTTTAAATTTATAGGATCTCGCCCTTAGAGTCACCGCGGTGGATAGTGGTGTAATTCTTTTAAGAATTAAACTTGGTGTGGGAGTGTGGAACCCACTATTATGAGCTGACAAACGAACAAACCGTTAAGGGCAGTGTTGCAATTTAAGCACAACGATGGGGGTAAAGCCCCAAAAGCTACACGTCCCAACTCCCAAATTCAACGCGATTTGAAAAACCCGAAGCTGTGCTCAAACTCCAATAAGAATTGCCCCGCATGTGCAAACACAAACAAATTATCCCCTTTGCGCAAAATGACAATTCCATCCCCATTTCCCCAAACCCCATTTAAATTTCAAAAAACCAATAGCCATGAGCAGCAGCTAGCTTTGTTGTTAATTCACTTAATTTCCAATTTAAATGGAGTGAGTTTAATGTATTTTAGAAAATTTTCATATCGATTCCTATAATTAAATAATAATGGGGAAAATTGTTAAATAATATTTTTTAACTTTATACAATTAAGCAATTAGGTTCTTAAGCTTTAAAACGTTACAATTAAACACTTGGACTTGTCATTTTAGTACATTTATATCCAATAACCGGTTATTCACCTAGAATAATCGCTCAATAATGTTCTGACAATAAAATCGGCAACTAGCATAAATGAGGAAGGAAACCAATGGATTGGTCGCCTTTTTTCTTTCCTAGTCATATTTTCTAGTGGGAAGGTTATGTCTACTTAAGCGGAAAAATAGAACACCATAAAATACAATAAAAACACAACTTTGCCGCGGGAGAAAAATCCTAATCTCAAGCAACATTTGAAATGAAAAAGCCATTGGCATTTGAATCGCCTGTTGTAGCTAAGATAGGTCTCGAGTCCTTCCTCATATATTATAATGCAAGGTAACTAATGCTCAAATTATGAACATTTCAGGCATAATAATTTCAAATAAAAATAAACATTTCGTTTACATGTATTGTTACTCTTTAGATACCTTTGTTGACTAGGGTTAATTAGTAATAGAATTTTACATCTTAAATCGCATTTCATGTCCATTACTTAGTAGATAGAATTGCATAAATGTTGATTGATGGCCTTTATTACACTGATAAAATTAAAAAGTAAAAATATCAATGTAATTTGTAGTCACTAAATTGTGAAGTTGGAGTGAAATTTGGTAAGAAATAGATAAATTAGGGTTTAAGAGTAACAATAATGTTAGATCCTTTAATGTAGGGACCAAAAATGCTATGATGCTAGTAACTCAAGGATCAAAAGTAGTGAGATTTATAAAATAGGTAATTTCATTTTTTGATCTAAATTTATAAGTGATAATTCATTTTAGTCTTTCTTTTTTAGAATATTCTCTTTTGTCCTAATATTATTGTGGCATGACAATTTTTTATCCCCCGTCAACAAAATCGCTGAAATGTCGTTAAATATAAGGACATTTCGATTATATATATATATATATATATATATATATATATATATATATATATATATATATATATATATATATATATATATATATAAATGACATTGTATTTTACAAAATTTAAACGGTTTTGTTGATGGAGGACAAAAAACGGTCATGTCACAATAATTCTAGGACCAAAGAATAATGTTTTGAAAAAAAAAATATAATGACTAAAAGTGGATTGTCACATATAAATCTAGGACCAAAAATGAAATTAACTATTTATAAAAAAAAATTAGTATTTTCACACATGCGTTGCAGGGAATGGATTTGTTATAATATTTTAAGAATGTTTGGATCGACATGCAATTGTATAAATTATAACATCGAATATTATATAGTGTAATTGAAGAATTGAGTTGGATCGATTATGTTTTATAATGTTATCATTACTTGAATTCGAGCAAATAATTGCCCAATTAATAGCTAACGTGTAGATATTCAATTCGCATCCGGTGCTGAAACTATAGAGATTTTATATATCAGTGTTTAGAATTTGTATTAATTGGACTAATTAGCTCGTTGTCTAACAACTCAGTTATAGAGATTATTTGTACGGAAGATATATTTTCTATGTAGATATATAGCAATTTTGTCATCTTTG